TGTTGACAGGTCTATGCTGTTAAATATTTTGTGTTCCAACGGAATATCGCAAACCATTACTGCAGTACTCATTAACTATTTCATAAATCGATCACAGTTCACATGTTACCTTAGTCGTTCCTTCTTTTTCCTTAATTTCTTCACCAGGGGTATTACAGGGTGCCATTCTATCCCCGTTTTTCTTCCCCACTTATATTTCATCCATGCCTACTTTTCAAAATCTTTTGCTCATTAAATATGCGGACAATGTTGTGGTTGGAATCGCCCACCCGGATGCATATGTCACCCCCACTCTCTAACTTGACCTTACTAACCTTGCTAAGTGGTCCGCTGAGCATGACTTAACTGTCAGTCCCTCTAAATATGTAGACATACTGTTCTCACTTCACAGAGGGAATCGTTATGCCAATCTCCTGAAATCCTGTCCCACGTTAAACACATGCGATGATACTATTGTCCAACCCCCAAATATCGAGTATCTTGGTGTGTTCCTAAACCAAACCGTAAACTGGTTTGACCAAGTTGGTTCTGTATTTGGAAAGGTCAAGAAACTATAATTTACAACTGAAAACACTAGCTGTCCGTCGCTTCTTGAGTAAACGTTTTCTTTTTGCCTGTATTTTACTCCTATGGTTGTACGGGTCCCCAGTAATCTTTCCAGGGATGCTCAAAAAGGACTTTAAATTGCATAGAGCAAATACTTGACCTGACTTAGGAAAACGATCTCTCGAACGTTTCATGCGGCCCTTTTACGGACACAGTTCACTAACCTATCTGTGTTGTCATTAAATCTCAAAGGTAAATTGCCTCAATGTTAGCCTAATCTTTTATCTGCTCATGTTCGGCAAGCTAAATATGCTGGACGAACAGGCAGTTTTCTCCAAGACAAAACACAATCTGGCTTGGTTAAGTCCGGTAAACATAAGCAACAGCTCGAGTGGAATCACGTCGCACCACGTTGATACCGGACACCGTGTACCTGAAGCTGTCTACGAGGTATCCCATAACTCTCTGACAACGGCACCTTGCGACAGCAGAGAGGGTATCAATAAAGTTATCGATATCAACTCTATGTTCAAAAAACTGTTTGGTAAAGCCCTCCATCCATCCTGAAGCAGACCCAAGGCAGAAAGTCAATACACCCATGAACATTTGATCTAAGCCAGAAGTATGTTATTATTCCTATCCCGTTTCCTCTTTCATCCTTCTCTTCCCGTTGTTTCTCGATTTCATATTCTAAATCAGTGAATAGAAACTTTTGTTTCTACCCTTCTTCTATCCACTCTTCACCATATCCATATCGCCCAATCAACGCATGTTCAGTCTGACTTTATTCTTTTGCAAATCTGTTCACTTCCTATACATATATATATATATATCTATATTGATTTATGTGTATGACTTTAGTAACCAAAGGAAGAAATTATCGAGTACGAGCTTGTTGGCTGCTCATGTTGTTCCATCAATATGACGATGAGAATTGGCATTGAAAGAAATATTCTCAAGTGAAAACACGTAATCTAATATATGTGTGAATGCACTAAAACCATTGTAAATAGACTTTGCATTTCCTTTTTCAATGAACGAGAATAAGTATGAAACGTATGAGGGTTAGGGGAGGGTCAAGGTTCCCCATTTGTTGTTGAGGTTCACTGATTATCCACTGACAATCACACCGGAGTCATAACATTTAATACAGTCTAAAAAATCGCTGATGATGATGAATTGAACTGGTGGAAGAACCAAGGCTCATCGGTTGCCAAATGCCATTGACGAAATGCCTGGAAGGGATTGGGAGGCACTAGAATAACCTCAATAGAGACAAATCTTTTTGAAACGTAATCACTTGGATTTCATTTTTGTTCCCCGATAAGTAAATATTACTACCTGGACATTAAAGTTCAGTTAGAAAGCCTCTTTCTCTAAAAGTTAGTTTGTGTCGAGAGAAGAAATAGTTCTTCGGTTCAAACAAACGGGTTGCTATCACCAACATCATCGTGTTGGAAATCCCAAATAAGTTTCCCTAATTCAAAACACTGGAAGTTGTCACATAACCCGAATGGGAACAGAAATAGTATAATCTCCTAAATCGGACAAAAGCCTCAGAGTAATAACTTTGAATTCTGTTGAACACATGTGAAAATGCATGGAAGTTGTGATTTGAATGCCATTATTATTATTATTATTCTTATGTTCATATAACCTAATCTGCAGTACTTACCTGGTGAGACAAAACGAAACGTTTTCGGATACAAATTGTGCAAAGTACAACTACTGTATTCTCGGTTTAGGTTGAACGCGAGAAAAGTTGATTTTACTTTACCATTACACACATCAATGCACTCCACCACTCCACTGTAGGATGCTTGGTTCGGGTGTGCCGCAGGATGTCCCCCCGTGAACGAATAAATCAGATAACCGCAAGTGGGCAGAGTCTAGGTGTGGGCTGGAACCGTCGACAGACAGGAGGTTCTCCGTGAAGAGGGTGAACTGACAATCTGCAAGAGAGGAAAATACAGACGCCATGAACCAAGTGGTCCAGTGAGACATGAACACGACTCACACTCAAACGGAATGGCAAGTTGCCAAGGTCGTTACACCATGTCGACTGTCTTGCCACGCATACAGCTGACCAAAATACTGTGAATTCGTGGAAGCGAGAATCGAAACAAGCATACTCACTATTGCTGTTCCTATTTAAATGTTTTTACACCAATTTTGGTTGAGAAGGGTATTCAGTCTGCCATATCTAGAGTAATACTTATCACCCTTTTGCTCCAAAACTAAAGAATCCTTGAATTTGAACGATATCAACCTTGGTATCTGGATGCACCTGAATTTATTGAAATGAAGTAATATCTGTCTTTTTAGAGTGTTTTGGATAAACCTTGTTTTGGGGATCATAGAATTTCTGTGAGTGAACGAATGATCATGTGAAACACAGCAGTATTTAACAATCCATCTAAGGAACGTTGCGGCAGAACAATGCAGGAAACCAGTGCGCTGCGTTTTCTGTTAACACATAACCCTGTACATTTCGATGGTTTGGAGTGAGTTCATACAAAATGGGCAAAAGTCAAATATTGTATGCCACGATAGTCCAACTATTTCCGGAATAAGTGAGTGATAGTCGCAGAAAAAGGATGAAAACCTGTTCTCTTTCATCATGGTCACACCGTAGCCTCTAGGTTAAACACAATCTGGAGCTTTACTGTGTGGAAAGTCGTATTTAGTGCATTCGATAATCTCCTATGTATGACTTGGACTCGCTGACCACCCTTGAAAGGTAAAACAATCTACATTAACTCCTCCCAAAGTGAACTTTCTGTACACCGTTGTTACGGAGTCCAATCATTCGATATCAGTGATAGGGCCTGCCTTTGCGCAGATTTTTCGTGCCTTATATGTTTAGTAGCAAATCCAACTTATCTTCACGTCCAGCAGCACAAGATCACTCAGTGCCTAAACGTTGCACCAAATTGTCTATATATATAATCCATAGACAGGCAACTGTATGGGACGTCTTGCTTGTTTCCCTTGGCTGTGTAACCGCCACAATGCACCGAAGTGGATTACGGGTGAACAGTAATTCGTCATACTCTTTGATCACTAAAGGGCCATACGTGACATGCTTGATGTGCGGTAAGCAGTGTGTGATCAATGGTTCAAGCTGATTGGGCTCTCGTTTGAGCGAACACAAGTCCACCGGTAACGATCCTGATGGTGACCAAGTGGCCACGGTAAAATTGTTAGTCATACTGGAATCAAAGGTTAGGTCTGTAGCAAAAAGTGATTGATGTCATGTCAGAAGAATGAAAACATCTTCCAATATTTTTCCCCGTTGGAATGATTAGTTCTCGTCATTCTGTCGCGAAACTATCCACACTACACTAGAGAAATGATATGTTTTTCATCCGAAGGAAGGTAGATATATTTGTCCCTCTTGCTGCACTAATCAACTTACAGAGGAGTTCACGGCAAATTTCGTTATCGTCTCGTACACAGTTTTTCTTCAGCCGTATTTATAATAAATTCTGATTTCAAAATTACCAGCAAGTTTCAGCCAATCTGATCGTACATGGTGTGTCATTCATACTACCAGTTAGATGTTTTTCCAGACCACGCTCCAGATCTCATTCGCAAACGCATGATTTGGTAACCTTGTGACCAGACGGAATCCTACACTCGCGAAGTTTGCTGTCACACAATGTGACAGTTTTTTTCATCTGCTGTAGAGAATTCTTTAGGATGTTTATGGTTGTTTCGATTGTTTTACACACCGCTGCTCACAAATATCTGACCGCAAACTAATATCATCACACAGGTCCGTTGGGGTCTCAAGGTTTCCGTGTTTTCTTTTTCCATCTGTCTGGTTGCTGATGTTGCCAAGATGGTACGCAGAACAATAGCTCACAAGCCAAACGGTTCGGTCACGTTCATGCATGACTGCCTGTCCACAGGGGGTGCTGGTGATGTTTTGCGAATTTGTATGCCTTCCCCCACATAGATGTTTACACACACGTGGGTGTCTGTGTGCCTATCTGCATGAACAGTGAGGGCACGAGGTTGACTGGTTATTTTCTGGTTGTATGTCTGTATTACTGACCCTGGTTCTGCGCTTAATGTGTGCGTGCATTTGTTCATTCCGCTTTGACTACACAAGTAAAACCGCGTCAATGAATGAGCTGATGGTGTTGTTGGTGTGACTGTTGCTGTTGTTGTTGTTGTTTGCTGATGTTAATGTCGATTTTATTTACCTCGTATGTTGGCGACTTGGATTGGTGTAGCTCACGTTTGGTGTGCTTTGTTTAGACCTGATGTGCTTGAGAGTGTGCTTGAGTGAGCGTTTGTGCATGTATGTTTGTTTTTCAAGTTTGGGCTCATGTACGTTGAACCACGTGGGTGCTACGGCTACCAGAGACAGGTAACTGCCTCCGGTGTGATGCAATTCAGATTGCTCAACGTTTCTGCACCGCGATCACTGTGCCAGATCGAGCATCATGTTGAATAATCGGGAAAGCGTTTTCAATTCATTGAACAACGATGCACTGGCCGCCCACAATCGGTGAGTTGATTTCCACGGTCCGGAAGGACAACGTTTGAGTCGCACCACTCTGGAGTGTCCCTTTCTACTCGTTATTATTTAAAGCGAGTTCGATTCCGGTAAATAAGAGTATTAGACACGGTTAGATTGATTCTTACACAAAACAGTGATCCTCATTCCGAGCCTCAAATGTTGTGTAACATGGGTTGCTTTTGTGCCCAACTGATCTGTATTTTTGTTTCTAGTACACCACAACCATCGTGTGTTTTGTAAATCACCAAAGGCGGCGAATGCGAATACGGCTAGAACTCTTCATGACCCGTAGAGAAACTTCGTAACACTGGTAGAGTTTCGGAAAGGTGAGATTAAATCTGTCGCCTAAGATTTTTTGATTCGAATCCTGTGCACGGATTGAGGGAAGAACATCCCTTTGAATAGTGACGTACAGAACTGAATTGTGAAGCATGTCTGTCAATGAATGATTAGTTGGTCTCGGAAAACGTGCAATAGACGATACGAATGTGTGTTAAGCCCAAACTACAGCTGTACCCGTATATGAAATACTACTCCGGCAAACGTACATAGGGATTGTGTGATAGCACGGTGATAGTTCGATCAAATTCGATGGTGCCTCATGCACCCCCCCCCCCCAAAAAAAAGGATGAATTCCCAACGCATTGTAAATTTCCATAGCGCATCGGTGATTTTCAAAATCCAAATTAGCGGGCCCATGTTGAAATATCAAGTTTATAGGGCTGGTTCCTGGCTATCAACCGTATAGCTCTGTCGTCATAATTGTATCAACAGTAATAAAACTGAAATATGTAATTGTGTCTTTTAGACTATGGCTATTGGTGTTTCTCAGAGGTTCTGAACCAACGGTATATGATGAACATATTAGGAAAAACGCACGAATCATTCGGACATTTTTCTACTAGTGAAACTTCCAGGGGCAGACGGCACTGAAGATGAAATTTAAGAAAAACCCTGCAGACAGATAGTGAACGAAACCATTTCTCGCTATGGTTGTTCTGGCCGAGAGGAGTTGAAATATGCCGCACATTTACAGATGGGATGTAGGTTTTATCATTTTATAATGCAAACACTGTTGTTCGTCCCGAATGATTCGATCAACCAATCCAGTACATCTGTCAGGAGGCGTGTAAACAAAAAAGTCGGCATTTACGATGCTGCATGTGTGGCAATATCGAGACGAGTGACTTGGAATGCACGGTAAATGCTTTGCAATCCGAGAAGGGTGCTAAAGCAGAGGTCAATAAAGTAGTCTGGGAGAAAACCAACAACTACAACTTCGAGACCAACATTTTGAGAGAAAGGCAATTAGTTACCTGACTCTGAATAAGTAGACTGATAGTGAGTGAGTGGTTTCATCGCGAACAGAACAAGAAGCATGGTGGCTATGATTGGCAATGGAGTCAGATATGATCCTCGTTTGACTATTCATGACAAAATTGATGCAATCACGACACAAAATGTAATAATCCTATTGATAGTGTTGAGGGTGGAAGAAACATCATTATCCTTTTGGAAGTTGAGTTCTAAGGAGTGGTGAAAATCCCAATCACACGACTCATTATGGCTTACATGGATGGGGCCCTGACAGATTTTCAGATCGCTGGATGAGAAAACACTCCCAGAATTGTCGGTTTATTTTGTAGAAGTCATTTTTGGTGGGTAGAAAGAATAGATATAAACAACCAGAATCAATAATGTCTAATGCCACTCTGAAAATTATCAGAATTGGTGTTCAAACCAGAAGATTCCCTACCAGTGAAAGATTTTATCAATTCATCAACTGATCACGTTCAGAAAGAAATTCAAAATCATAATGGAAAGCAATGGGACACAGTGGCTAGATCCCGCCATATCAGTTCGTGAATAAATTGTATTTCCCACCATCATTATCAAATGATGGGCCAGCGCAGTTTGGTTTATAATGATATGTTTATGTACCAATTCCGATTTATCGGAATGCCCTATAAAGAATCGGAACAGACTCTTTTGTCAGAAGCCAGTGAACCAACATCTCAGCAACAATGTCTTTAATGTTCCTGTGCTAGGTGACCAGCTGACAAAGTTGACTTTTTACAATCCAGTCAGGGAGGCAACGTAAGGCACAATGCAATTTCAGCAATTGCATCAGAAAAAAAATAACAAGAAACACTTCAAAAAAGACCATGTATGACCAGACTAAATTCTCATGGACACCTTGATTACAGTAGACATTTATTTTGAGTTGTGCAGGACTTAGACACCACATCGTAAGAGCCCGCAGTTTCTCTACAAAAGACCATACACGGTTGGGAGATGCGCAAACGTCAGCTGTTGTCCGACTCAACGAGTTGTTTATTCTGATTAAATTTTATTCAATTCTTTATTGCAAGTATTATGATACTGATATTTATTATTCAACGGTGGATTTTGTGATTAAAAGACATTCCCATTGTTTATCGCATTACAGTTTGGCACACAAATAGGGTGATGAGCTTGATGGAAGGGCGTGTTCCGTTTTGAGAAACAATGTCCTTTTTCACGGGAGTAGTGACTGGAAGGATAGCGAATAATTAAAATTCACCCCAGACGTAACTATTGTACAACAGTGACCAGTGTTGGACCTAGAGTTTAGCCTAAGAGACTTATTGCGGTTAAATAATGGGGAAACATATGCAATGAATTGTGAAAACTGATGTGTACCTGTATTCATCATGTTGGTCAACGTTTAACACACAGCAGAAACTTGCAGAAAAATTTCCAACGTTGAGTATCTACGGGATGGTTTGTGGAAACTGTGCCTACAATGTGTCTGCGTTTTTCCCAGATAAATCATTTGACATTCAAAAGATGCCCAATGATTGTGAAGAAAAATTGTAGGATAATACTCAAATTTTAACTTTCATTTATTTAAAGTACTTTCTGAAATGTGTTTGAATTAAATAGTACAGCATCATCCGTGTTTCAACTGAACAATTGAAGTGTTTCAGTCCTAATAATACGCATTGGATACACCAATTTGCGGCTATCTGTGCCGTCTTGTGTTTTAATTCGATCCATGGAAAGCAGAATTTTGTGCCTGTTGTCCCACGGTCACCATTGTTCTATCTTAGTTCAACAATGTGTGGTGATTAGGGTTGGAATGTGTCACTGTCCGAAAAGGTCACCCCAATCCTGTTTCACAGACCCAAGACAAATTTTATCAAGAAGTTATTTCGTTCAAGTAGAAATTTAAGCACGTTATTAAGGAGGTCACTACTTAAATCAAGAACACAGTAGGGCATGAATAAAGTCGACATTGTTACCTTTATTCGCTGCCTGCCGTCATAGTATCACTAGACGGTTCTGTTCGATAGCGCTGCGAATGGGTTAGTCCGCCGTGAACGGGTAGCCAGTGGTTATCAAATTGTTGAATGGACCCGAATAGGAGTACACAACGAAGATGTTCCACCCTGTGTCTCTCGAAGCATCCAGTGCTGCAACTAAAGGTAGCTGGTCTAGTATAAAAAACTACAGACATTTGGTTGGATTATATGCGTGTAACAAAAGGGATGAAGAACGCGTCACTACAATAAAAACTGAGAGGTAAAAATTAACCACTGCAATGCTAAACTTCTTCGATTGCGCTTTCGTGTTTATTCCAGTGAAATCTGATCTCATCAGAAAAAAGAGACGTGCAACCCACATACCCATGAACACTGAACTTATGAAATAATGGTATTCCGAATATCAAAGTAAGCCTGATTTTGAACAAGCCAACATGTGGGGTAAAAAAGAACTGATTGCAGAAATACGTGCAAGATGGGCGGGGCAAGGTGGGATGATACCTTTTGCATGCGTTTTTATTGTTATTGGAGTGGGGAGGGATGATAATGTAGACAAACGTGTTTGGGCATTCAACATACCTTTCACAGTTGTTTGGTGCCGAGAAGGCGCTTCATCATGAGTCATTTCGTGAGTAGGTTTAGCGCCTGCATCAAACTGCTTGAAGACAAAACATCCCCATTATTCGTTTTATCGCTCCTGGAAACTGTACCATAAATAAAACCGATAGCCGTCATATAAGTCAGCGTTCACATGGCTGAGTCGTGTAGCCAGTACCATTTGCTCAGTGTAATTTACTGAATGATATCAAATTTATTGTGTATGCAGTTGCCAGTGCTATCTTAGGCATTCGGATACTTGAATCTTTGAACATGGCTATTATTAAAGAAGCACTTTTGGTGTTCTAAGTATTTAGTTTTAAGATTGACCAGATAGAAATCGAGAATAAAACGTCGTACTTCTTAAGCAACAAAAAACCTGATTCTGCAATGAAACAAAACAGTGTTGTAACACCAACAAAGTCAACAACTGAGAGAAAATGAACAAGCGAACAAGTGAACAAGTTGAATAGTTGACTTTTGTTTCGTAGAGATGGTTATAAGTTGACGCTGAAATAAATCAAGCGTAGACAAATAATTTTACAGAGGCACTGAATTGATTTTGTGCTTGGAAGAGTCTTCATGTATAAGTTGTGCGATTGTGAAATTATGTGGATTCTATCCGGTAAACTTTGATTCTTTTAGTTTGCATATTTGAGAGGTAGTTTTCTCAAGTGGTTCTTCATTTTGTAGGAAGAATATATAAGCTTCAGGATTTAACTTAAGATCGTTGAATGAATCGTCACCGGTAATTTTCCTCGAACAAGGCAGAATTGACGAAAGGTCTGGTTTCAAAACGTAATGCTCATAAAAACAGGTACAATAATCGACTGTTGGATAAACTGGAATTAACAGAATCATCACAAAGGATTTAATGTGGCTGACTACTCATATACTAAACAGTTTCGATATGCACTTTGGGACTACAGAAGGCTTGACGGCTCACCATCAATGTGTTTCCGACGGGTGGTTCATAGTTTGTTAGGTTGGATGCAGCGAAGTTCACTTAAGGAACAGAATTATCTCGCAAATAAAAAATGTCACCTGAACCTTGATAGAGTTATTAATTTTCTTAGTTTAACGTTG